CAATTTATGTCTTCTTCTTGGGGAACTGAGACCATTCATATTGAGAGTTATTACTGAGAGGTATTGACTTATTCCTGTCATTGCATTATTTGCATGTTGCTGTTTTCCTTATTTTATTTTTTCTTTTGCTTAGTTGCTCATCCTATCAGGTATATTCATCATTTTTGACTCATTGGCTTTGTTGGCTTCATTTTCTCTTTCTATAATATTGTTGAGAATTTTTTGTAATGCTGACTTGGTGGTCATGAATTTCTTGAGATGCTCCTTGTCATGGAAATACTCATTTGTCTTTCAATTTTGAAGGAAAGTCTTGCAGGATGCACAAGTTGGGCTTGGAAATTGTTCTGCTTTATGGCTTGAAACATTTCACTCCAAGCCCTCCTGGCCTTTAAGGTTTGTGGAGAGAAGTCTTTTATATTTCTAATTGGTTTACCTTTATATGTGATCCATTGTCTTCTTCTAGTAGCTTTTAAGGTTTTGTACTTGTGGTGAATTTCTGGAACTTTCAATATAAAAAAGTATTTCTTTTGGTTATGGCTATTTAGGGTTCTATATGATTGACTTACCTGTATATTAATTTCTTTCCCTATGTTTAGGAATTTTTCTGCCTTTATTTCTGTGAACAGATTTTTTTTATGCCATTTGTGCTATCTTCTGATTTTTTTACCTATTCCAGTTATTCTTAGATTAGTCTTTCTTGCATCACCTACAAGGTACTGGATCCATTTTTCAAGTTCTTGTGGGTTTTTTAGGTGTGTTTGAGTAGTTCACTTTTGAAAGTTATCATTGATAACTTCAGGTTCTGAAGTTCTATCTTCATATTGGTCAGTTATGGTACTCATACTTCCAATATGATTTTTAATCTTCTGGATTTCTGATTGAAACCTTTTCATGAGCTCTAAGTCTTTGGTAAACTGGTCATTCATGTTTGCATCATTTCATTTAACTCATCTGGGTTTTTATTAGTATCTTCTAAAAGCTCCTGCATCTTTTTGGTTATTCTATTATTTAATCAACTATATCATCTCTAATCCTCCTAAGTATCTCTTTGAGCTGTTTTCTAATCTCTTCTGTTATCCTTTCCATTAGTTTAAGCATGTGGCTTATGCTATTCTGCCTCTGGGTTCCTACTGTGTTGGTTTCAGGAGAGTTGGGAGTTTTGGGGGGCATTTTGTTGCCTTGTTTACTCATGTTTTCAATTGGTTTATTTATTTGTTTGTTTCCTTGTGTTTTGTGCTGTTTGTGCCTGCTTAAAGTCTAAAAACTTTGTTGCTAGTATAGAGTTCTCTTTAGTTGCTTTTCAGTGATGTATGTTGGGTTATATAATCCTTTGCCACAGCTCCAAGATCTGATCACCTTGGTTAATTTGGAAGAGGAGTATGCAGTGTAGTTTGCCTAGCGAGCAAGTTCTTTGGGAATATACTCTAGCATTATTAAAGTCACAGATGTAATCTGAATGTTAGTTTACAGAGATATAGCAACAATTACATTCCTGTCAATAACAAGTAAATCAGTTACAGTAATATCATCCAAGACAAACTGGATATTAACATACCATAAGAACCAGTTATGTACCATCCTTAGTCCTAGAGACAAAAATCAGCAATTATGGTGTAAACTCTAAGACAACCCAGTTATTGGCTTACAACTAATAAGTACTAAATGCAACAGCTGTATCTCTGTTCATGGTAGAAAAGAATCCAACAATAATTTTATAGAGTTAACTATCAAAAGAGTAACAAAGCTTTATGGTTATACCATCGAAGATGTGGGTTTGAGGGCTGGGAGAATGCAATAGAAAAACTTTTAAACCTTAAACTCAGGGATATGAGAATGAGAGAGAAGTGCCATAAAGGATCTTATTGGGGAGTAGAATTATATTTATAAAAATAGGTAAAGGTAAGAGAAAAAACTGGCAAGAAATAAAAGATAAAAGAAAAAGAGGGAGAAAATGAAAGACATTATATAGAGAGTAAAAATAAGGAAATAACTAAAGGGAGAAGAGGAAAATGTAAAGCAAAAAGAACAAGAAGTAAGAACAAGAGATAAAAGCAAGGAAGAAAGACAAAGGAAAATTCCCCAGGCCTCAATAAGCTGGTGAAGAAGAAAAGAAGAGAAGAAAGAAGAGCAAAAAAATGAAACAAGAAAAATAAAATAAAGCAAAAAGCTAAAAATAACACACATAAAACAAAAATATCAACAATAAAAATGAAAACAAAAAAGAAATTTCTCTATGATTTTGAACGTGTGTTTTTCTTCCAGAATCTACAATTTGGGGGCAATATCCAAGTCAAGATATATTCCTGCTCACGCTGGTAGATAAGGATGGTAGTCAGACCCTAAATCTCTGCTGGACGCGGGCCCCAGCATGTAGCAGAATTAGGGCAAGAGTGCCAATTCTGTGACTTTCAAATCCAGAGCAATTCAGGCTGAGTCTGGCCTCTGACTGTGGGGATGTGACCTGTATATCCTTTATTTTTAACCCTTCAGAAAGTCTCTTGTCATCCTGATCATGACTCCCTGACCACCGCTGTCTCCAGTGACAGTTTCTTACTTTGAGAATGTAACCCTCTGACCCTTCAGTTGAAGTCATCCCGTGGCTGCTCCAAGTCCCAGGCTCTAACCCTTAACCCCTCCCTGGAATGTCATGTGACCAGACACTCTCTCCAGCTGGTAAGGCTGGTGCTTGGACTAGAGTCACTCACCAGATGTTGCAGGGCACAGCATCCACCAGTCTGTTCTAGCACATCGTTCTTCCCTGAAGGTCTCTGGAGTCCCCAACTTTCTCTCTGTTTCCGTAGATTTGGTCTTCTTTTCTCATGAACCATGATCTAGGAGCTGGGGTAAAAGTACAGATAGTCCCTCACCTTCTTCTCATTGTGTTCCTGTCTCTTCAGTTTCTCTATGGGTTTTAATTTTCCCGTCATATCTTTCCTGGGTCCCAGGGACATACTATCATCTTTTTTTCTTCCCCAAGTTGTTTTTTTCCAGTGTTTGGGTTCTGAATCTTAAAGTGGCTTTCCACTCCATTTTTCACCTCTTATAATTTTTTTATTGTTTCTTCTGTAACCCCATTGTTCAGTTTAATTTCACTATTTTCTGTATTATGTCATTCTTGATCTCACCAAATTGCTTTGCTGCCTCTTTAATCACTTTGTGGAATTCAGCTATCTGATGTTTGATTTCCCCTTCGATGTGCTTTTGGAGAATTTGGAGTTTACCTTGTTTTTTATGTTCCCCTGTGTGTGTGTGTTGAGTATTAAAGTCACAAAGAGTAAGGAGAATTTTGTGTTTATATGAGGATATCTTTAGTTAGCTTCTGTTTTCCAGTGGTGAGTTCTTGGCTTTGTCAAGGGGTATTGTTTACCACTTCACCTTATTCAATTAAGTTGGACTCTGTTGGTGTGTTTTAAGGAGAGGATTTCTACTAGTTATAACAGTGTCAACAGATCCATCCATCATCAATTATAAGCATTAAAACTTGTTTTGAAAGTTATACCCTTTTATCAATACCCTTACAGACTGTATTATACTGCTGTTTGCAGTTCATCTGGAATGTGAACTGTGGGAGGAAAGAGGGGAAGGGAAAAAGGAGCTGTGTCAGTGGGAAGAGAGGGAGGTAAGAGAAGTGACAATATGTGAAGAACAGACAAAACGTTAAACTCTGTTGGAATTATTTTTGTAGCGGGAGTAAAGCACTAGTGTTGAGGGGATTTGACAGAGTATTTGTGTGGGCAGGAGGAGGTATGCAGATGACTGGAAGTGTATTTAGAGATTGAGAAAGGCTGTGAGATTGTTGGTACATGTTTATATACTTGTTCCTTAGTTTTATGGATCTTGCTTGCCTGCAGATACAGATGAAGTCATAGCATTAATAACAACTAAAGTTCTGCTGCTCCTGGCCCCTGCTCTGTTGGTGCAGAACTTCAAGCCCCAGTCTAAAGCTACACCAGGTCAAGGAATCCTTAGGAAGTGTCTCACATAAGTTAGTAACCAGTCCCTTGGTGTATTTTTGCTATTATCTCTTGGTGATATTTTAATATTGTGCAGCCTCATAGACTGGCACCTCTGTACTCCAGGCACAAGTGCTCTAAAATCTTGAAGCTGATTGTTTTAGCACAAAAGTCATATTCTTTCTCTGAGTATAGGTTTTGGCTACATTTTATACTTTTGATATCTAGTAATCTCTGTACTTTCAGTTTCTGAATAATTCACAATATAATTATTATTCAAAAATAATTCAGTTTTTATTTACTATATTACTTGTTGCTTAAATACTCACGACATTTTCTCATGGATTACACTTTTTACAATAAATATATTCTTGGTTTTCTTTTATTCTCCTTAACTTGAATTCTGTTTCTCTAACTTTAGTATTGCCACGCATGCTTAGCTAGTTTACCATTTCCTTCCCTGTATGTATATTTTAGCTATGTCTTTAAAAATTTAGAAGTATTATTTTTATTTATTTTTGACAGAAAACAGACCTGCTCATCTCAACTCAAACTAACACAGTAATAGAATTTGCTAAGATCCATTTTTATTGTTAAACTGTGTGAATAATATATATAATATTTCAGTTTCCATTTACTGAGAAACTACATATGTACACATAGGTTTATAGGACCCTTGCAAAAACAACATGACTATTGTTTAAGAAGAACTTTAGACAAATTGAATTTGACAGAGTTTACCTGACCAAGGAATGATTCATAAATTGGGCAGTATTTGCTTTATATTGTCATGTTTAGGCAGCTTTTAGCCTGTAATGGGCTAGAGGTTAAACTATTTTGATATGCTGAGATACGGATACTTGTTACAAGAATATACAATCAAGTTAGGTGACAATCTATTCACACATCAAATTAGGTCATAATTTACTGTGTACAAAGAAAGCCAAACTTAAAATATGTGTGAAACCAACCTTAGGCCAAATTTAATACGACTCATGTGGCTTGATACACTCTAAATGAGCCGTCTCTGGGTTTGGGTGTGGGTAGGTGTAAAGCATTTGAAGGATTTGCCAATTCTGCCAGGAGAAATATTCAAGTATAAATGGACAGTGACTGTAGAAGATGGGCCAACTAAATCTGACCCTCGGTGCTTAACCAGATACTACTCCAGTTTCCTCAATTTGGAGAGAGATCTAGCTTCAGGACTCATCGGCCCTCTCCTCATCTGTTACAAAGAATCTGTAGATCAAAGAGGAAACCAGGTGAGTTCGTCCTTTCCTAAGTGCTAAGTTTTAAGCTAAAAATGGAATTAAATGCATGTGAACTCCCAAATATTTTCTATACCCGCTTAGTGTATGCTCCCTAATGGCCTCCAGAAACTATAGCAGTCTGCATATAGTGTGCAATAAAAAAATAATAGAAAGAAATTGGGTTGCACTCAGCTTGTACTGAATTTAAATGTGATGTAATTAACTTGCCTGCTGGCTAGATAGAAAAGCGAGAACCCTAGATTTTTTCTATAATAATCATTTCCAGTTTGAGACTTAGCTCTCTGGATGATCTTGCCCAGTTTTACATGTCCAGTTATCAACTATTTTCAGATGACCTACAAAAGCCTAGGCTTCTCTGAACATTCTTAGTATATATGATTCAAAATCACCTTAAAATTAATGTCTGCAGAATCTCATATAATGAATGGTATTTAGCAGAAGGCCAATAAATATTTATTGAGCAAAATAACAGGGAAAGAAAATAAAATATTTCAGAGTATGCTTTCAATTTGGACCACTTCTGCTCCTTTAAAAACTAAAGCTAAATTAATTAATTAATTTTTGATATCGGTGGGCTTGTGGAAGGGCAGTCGCTAGATGATTGGAATTTAGGATCAGAGCTAAGTTTGTTTAACATAAGTAATTTGGATCTTTAAAGAGTTAAAAATTCTCTAATCTACACATGGAGAGATTAAGGCTATAGACTGTACCAAAAACTCAATGCGCATGTAGTCTTGGGTTCAGTAGAAGCTAAATTTAGTGCTACCAGCCACCCTCTTGCTTTGAAGACACCCTCTTAGCTCCACTTACTGCTTATGACACCCACGCTCATTCCCAGGCTCTGGTTCATGCTGTAACAGTGACCCTAAAAGAAAATGAAATTGAACTGAAGATTGCTAGTTCCTATCTGATGGGATCAGTAGCTTTTGTTTTCAGTACAGGGGATTGAATCTAGGGCCTTCACTCTGAACCACATCCCTAGTCCTTTATTTTGAGACAAGGTCTCCCTGTGTAACCCAGCTTGGCAGCAAGCTTGTGATCTCTCTGCTTCAACCTCCTAGAGTGCTGTTACAGGTGTGCACCATCGTGCCCGGCTAGTAGCATTTCTTTCACTACATATAATTAACAGATGATGTCAGACAAGAGAAATGTCATCCTGTTTTCTGTATTTGATGAGAACCGAAGCTGGTACCTCACAGAAAATATGCAACGCTTCCTCCCGAATGTAGCTGGAGTGCAGGCCCAGGATCCAGAGTTCCAAGCTTCCAACATAATGTACAGTGAGTAAAGCATCACTTGAGCTCAGTGGGTATTGGATAAAGGGCAACTGATGCCACCAAATGTATGTCCAGACAATTAATGAATTTAAATGCCACATAAGAGTTACATTTCTTTAAAAATTGTTACCTATAAATACATAAATAAATGCATAGATGTGATCATATAATACATATTTTAAAAATCCAGTCACAATGTTTTATTCCAGTGTTTGCTTGGCTGTCTCTTCTCTTTCATTTTTATTTTATCTTCTGCATTACACCATTTCACCAACCATTCTCATTTTAAAATACTTCCTCTATGATTATATGATCATATAATATAGACATTCTATTGGTTTTTAGGGTTGCCATAAAAAGTATTGCAGTGATTTTATTGCTTCACAATTCTGGAGGCTAAAAGTCTCGGATGAAATAGTCAGCAGTGCTTTCTTGCTTGGCCCTTCTTTTTGGCATATAGATGTCATCTTCTCCCTGTACCCTCACATGGTCAACCCTCTGTATCTGTCTGTGTTCTAATCTCTTCTTATAAGGTGATTAGGGCCCAGCCTCGTGACTTTATTTAAACTGATTGCTTATGTAACAACACATCTATACAGTCATGTTCTGAAGAACCGAGGGTTAAGACTTCAGCATGTGAATTGGAAGTGGGCACAACCCAGCACATCACATACATACATATGTGTATCGTGCACATATACACATAAATCTGGATGGTCGAAAGTATGAGAGAAAATTTCAATTTCACTACCCTACACGGAAAAGTAAAATAGAATACCAATGAGATAGCACATCCTACCTATCACACTGGCAAAAGTTAGCAGCATCATTGTTAATGTGCTTCTAAGTAAAAGGGTATGTTCATACAATGTTAATGGATAACTAATACAATCTTTTTTAAACAGCTTAGAGTGCACCCATTAAAATTAAAATAAATGCTTTTTGAAGTTCTGATTATGGATAAAATGAAATAAGCATATTCCACCCTTGTCTATTCCACTGAATGCAACTAAAAATCTGAACCAAATGAATGGAGACTGGTGGAAAAATTGTACTCGGGTTATACATACCTGCCAGAATGTGGCTTCTGTTATGAGTCTATGCTCCTTGTCTCTAAGTTTTAGCTTTAAGTTGAGTCTTATATTTAGCTTGAATTTCCAGTAATAATGGTCTTTTGTTCTTCAGAGTCATTGTCTAGGAAGGATACAATTAAAATGACTAGGCTAGGAACAGGGACATCAGTCAGTAGTAACATGCATGACATTCTGGGTTTAATCCCCAGCAGTACGGGGGGGAAAGACCGGCCATATTAAGGGTTAGTAAACATACGGAGGAAGAACTCTTATACATTGTCGGTCAGAATGGAAACTTGATCATCTGGGCTAAGGTTTTTATTTTTTCTGTACCTTACAGTATTTCCCTTGTAAGTAATAATTATTTTGTAGGGAAATACTTTGAGACCATACAAATATCTTGCTTCTCATCAAACAACCCTCCATAGAGTATAGCATCTATTTTTTTAAATTTTAGGGTAATTTAATGTCACTTAAATTTCTTTTTTTTTTTTTTTTATTGGTTTTTCTCCGGTACCGGGAACCGAACTCACGACCTTGCACTTGCCAGGCAGGCGCTTTTGCCGCTGAGCTAAATTCCCAGCCCCATGTCACTTAAATTTCAACTTGGATTATATTTTTAAATTTAGTTAAATGACTCATTTTTAATATGAAAAAATATAAAGGAAAGAATAAAAAACAGATATTTAGAAATGAGAGGTAATCTCAGAAGCCTTGATACAGACAGAAGGTAACATTAACAAAGAATAGCCCTCAGAAAGAGTGAAGCTTCATTTAACTTCTCCAGATAATTTGTGAAAAGTAAAGATGGAATATTGTGCTGCAAATTTCTACTTAGTGAGAAAATTACAAAGCAGATATGATACAGATTATATCTTCACAATATACACTAAAGAATAGATCAACAAAATTAAAAATTAATAGGCAAATTATTCAAATATAATGAATGAAAAGAAAATAGACTAAACTGAATATTATTATATGCCAAAGAATTTCTAAATCCTAGCATTATTGATTAAATCATAAATATGTATACTTTAACTATAAAAATGTTAACAATTTGTTGCTAAAAATTAACTTTAAACAGCTCATATTTGATACAAAATAATTACAAAGAAAAGCTTATAATTAAAATGTTAATGGCACTAGCAGATAAATATGTATGAGAAAATTATTAATAGCTAATAATTCAAATAGACAAATAGGTCTTAGAAACAGACACATTCACAATAAATGCAAATATAAACAAATATATGAAAAAAGAGAAATGAGAAAGAAATTACTATTTTTCTTATTTAGCACTTAATCTTGAAAAATACCAGAACTTCATTTTGTTTTTTTTTTAAATTTATTTTAAAAATAAAAGAAGGAAAACATATTAACAAACAGACATCCACTTACAAAATAGCATAAGAACAATATAAACAATACAGAGTTACAGACAAAATGGTAAGAAATTCACAATGATTGTTGTGTTACATATTGATATCTTCAAAGTAGTTTCTCAGGAAAACAGAGACATGCAATATTGATCAGTCAAGGACTCATTAACAGTTTCTTTCTGTAGAGCAATAGAAGACAGTAGTACAACTATGTTAGCTATCCTGTATATACATACTTACATAATTTCCCCTTCTGCCCTTCTCTTTTCCCACACCCCAGTTGACCTTTACTTTTGAGCATTTTCCTTTCATTTCACAATGTCTATCATACCTCCTACTTTTTATTCACTATTTCACGATCTTCATCTAGTGAGACAATACATTGCTTACACATGCAGGTCTCATTTATTTCACTTATGAGTATGGCTCTAGTTGTGACCATTTACCTATAAAAGCCATGAGTTTATCTTTCTTTATAGCTGAGTAATATTCCATTATATAAAAATACCACAATTTTCTTATCCAATCCTCGGTGGATGGACCTTTGGGTTGCTTCCACAATTTAGCAATTACAAATTGTGCTGCTACGAACATAGGTGCACATATATCGTTGTGATATGATGTTTTCAGATATTCTGGGAAAATACCCAGAAGGGGAATAGCTGGGTTGAATGGGACCTGTAGACGTAGTTTTCTGAGGAAACTCCAAACTGATTTCCACAGTGGTTTCACCAGTCTGCATTCCCACCAGCAGTGGAGAATTTCTCCACAGCCTGGCCAGCATTTGTTATTGGTTGATGTCTTAATGCTAGCCATTCTCACTGGGGTGAGACGAAATCTCAATGTTGTTTTAATTTGCATTTCTCAAGTGACTAATGATGTTGAACATTTTCTCATGTATTTATTTGCCATTTGTATTTCATTATCTGAGAAGTGTGTATTCATCTCAGCTGCCCATTTTTGGATTGGGTCTTTGAATTTGGGGGGGCTGATGTTTTTTAATTCTTTATATGTTCTAGATAGAAGACCTTAGTCTGAGGGACAGTCAGCTAAACTTTT